TAGTAAGTGGATGTATGGGGACATGAAATATTGTTAGAGAGTTATAGATAACTTTAATGTGAGTGTATTTGGAATAATAATAATGCACATTTTTCCCCTTAATATGAAAATGTTTTTGACATATAGTAGGCTGTGGAGAGGGCATCTTATAGTAAACAAAGTGTGGTACAGTATGGTCATGTGTCTACCAGTATTTTTGGCAGTCTGGATTATAGAAAGAATGTAGCACAGACAGGGCTTTTGGTAAGTCTTGAGTGTAATAAAGGGCAAGCTGGAAATATAGCTTTTTCATGTCAGTAAATGGTACTGTAAAATTGGCCAGTTCCTTAAGATCTTTTTGATGAGTGGAGTTTACCGAATTAAAAAAAATTCTGAATTCTAGTATATGTGATAATGGAGAAATAAAAGCTGTAATGGTGCATTTAGAATATATTTTTTATTACTTTAGGTTCATTTCTGACATAACTTGTTTTAGCGAGCCACTTGAATGATCTTGGTAGCTATGAGGTTTTAATAGCTAACACTTGGAAAGCCTTGTAGTTTAAACAAATGTCAACTTCAAAATCACATTCCTTCCTTAAGAAACTATCCCAATTTTATTTTATTAAAAAAGAAACCAAAAAACATAACATGTGAGAGACTATTAGGAGGTAAAGTTGTGGAAGTTCCTGTAAAGTGGTGACTTTTTTCTAGATGGAGTTTTACTATTGTGCCACAAAATTTTTGCTATATGAAGTATTTAATCTTCCTCCTTTATAAAGCTGTTGAGCTCTCACTTCAGAGCACTAGTCCTTTGCTTCATGCAGGACTTGAAAGAAATCCATGTTTTATTATAGTTGATTAAAAGAAAAAAGAATGAAAGTGAAACACAAGCTCTAATGTTCATTCTTATCTAGGAAAACAAGCTAATAGAAGGAGAGATTTTTGGAAAACCTAAGGTCTGTATCTGTACTTGTGTTTCGGATCTTTCTTTCATGACAATAAGCATTCTCAGAGTGCCTTTCTACACCTGATAACCTTTTGGAAAACAAAAGACTATTGGGAAAAATAGTACTGGAGATGGAGATGATAATTTCTTATGCTTTGAATAGAGGCCCTTTGTTTTTTAGGATCTACCCCAGAAATTTCTGCAAACACATTGAATTGCGTTGAAAATGAAAAGAAAAAAATTGAAGTTTTACTAGTTCTGATCCCAGGTCAGTATTCTCAAAAGTGTAAAAACTGCAGCAGGGAGTTAGCAAAACTTTTTAAGATGAAAAAATGGCCAATGTTTTAAGAACTTCTGATGAAAGGAGTTGAGGCAGAGGGGCTGTTATAGGCTGGGAGTGAAGATGATGTCCCAGAGCTGCTGTGCTTTCCTTTTGCAACCTCACCTCCAGCAGTGTGTTGTTCCCTCCTGTAGCCCCGGTGAGATTATTTGTCAGATCTAGACACGAGATAGGTAAAATTCAGCCTGGATAAAATGTTCAGCTTTCTTTTAGCTCTCTTTGCTGTAAGGTTGCTGGGGGTGGAGGGGAGTAAAGATGAAGAACATTTTCAATCTAACTTTATGGAAATAATACAGAAATCATTGATGTGATGAAATTAAGGGAAAATTAGGTGGAACTTTAGGTCACTGTGACATGAGTCAGAAAATCCAGTTATTTTGCAGAGAAGAGTGTATATGAGTACATAGAATTTTTTTACTGGTTGTGCTGTTTTCTCTGCATAAGTATCTAAAAATAGTAAGTTACAACACAGATGTTTTGGGTTTGTTTGAATTGCCTTCTTTCATGTATCCTTTATATAGCATGATTCGTCTTTTGCTTTATTCTACATAGTGCTGATTATAAGGTGTAAATGAGTAATCAGTGACTGAAAAAAAAAAGTTACTTGCATCCCCTCTGAGGTTGGGAATAGGTCTGTTAGACAAAAGACCATCTTTTCTGGAAAAAAAAAAATCATTTTTAGGGAATAATGCAATGGACTTTTCCAGAATAGTGAGATACAGTAGTATTTTTTGAAAGGCTAGTTTGAATATAGTATTTAATTTAACTGCTTATCAGACTGCATTCTTGTTGTATAACTAAGAATTTACATCTTTAAATGTTTCATAGCCAGTGCTGTATCTGTCCATGTCTTGGTCTTTTGTGACTGACTTTTTACACCTATATGAGATGCTGCTCCAGGCCCAGAGATATTACTTGGTATAGTGAAGCTGACATTTTCCCAAAATTCAGGAGAAATACAAGGCAGCAAACTGGGTTATCTTTTTAGAGGTGAATGTTACTTGCATGGACTTAAGTCTCCCTTCTTCACTGTGTTTTGTGCCAAGTTCTGGGGGAAGAAAACCCACACTTTTGCTTAATGTTTTCAGTGTTTTTACGTGTTAGAAATTGTTTTGACATTGCAGCCTTAAATTTGTTGTCAGAATTAGTTTCATTAATGTTTGTGTGATTTCAATAAATTTAGTTTTTATATTATATTGTTTCACCCAAGACATAGATCCATAAATTGTAAAATAGCTATTGTCTTTTGACTTGTTTGATGAGGAAACTAAGTGAGAATTTTATGTTGGAAGCACTAAAGTCTTCATAAGCCTTTATAGCCTAGGTATTGAACTTCTGTCTTATAATTAAGAGAGAAATGAAACCTTTTGAGAATGGTATTGACACCCTGCAGGGAAAAATGTCAGCTGCAAAAGTTTTTACATTGTCATACTCCTTGGTCAGAAAATGTCATTAAGTCCCATCTTTTCCTTATACAACTTAATTTGAAAATAACAAACCATGTGTCTGTAACGTAACTGCATTTTGGCCTGTGACTTTGATGTGTCTGAGCTGTGTTTCTGTTACTTCTGCCCTGTAACATACAATGTGTCATTTCTATTGCCGTAAAAAAAACTTATGGGAAAAAAAATTTATAGTGATTGAGACATTCCAATTATTAATATTCCACTTGCTGAATTTCACAATCAATCATCTCATTAATAGGCCTGTCTATGACTAATAGATGAGCAGAGTCTGTCAAGATCTTCAAGAAGTTCATTGCACACTCTAAAATTGGGCATTAGTGCTTTTGATCTTCGTTGCAGTTATCAGTTAGGTATAATAGCTCCAGTAATACCCATAGCAGCCTACAAAATTTGCAGAGGTTTACTCCTCTTTGAAGGGCAGAGTTAACAAAGTTTCTAAAGCAGTGCACAATGCATGTGACATTATAGGGATGGTGCACATAAGATGGTTTTTCATGTATTGGTATCACTAATGTATATATAAAAATCACATTTTTTTTGAAGTGTAAGAAACATAATCATGATACCTGAATAAACTGCTACACTGTTAATAATTTTTAAAATTTAAAAATCAGATTTAGAAAAATTGTTTTTAAGATGCCTGATACCTTCAAGTAAAGGCAATTTTTAAACTTTTATTTAGGGGTTTATGTGTTTGAAGAGCCAATAAACAGTGCTTATGTAACAGTACTTAGATTTACACATCAGCCAGCTGGTATAGCCAGATCTTCAGTTTTTCTTTTTTCTTTTTTTTTTTTCTTTTTTTTTTTTTTACTTTTTGGAGGTATTTGTGAGCAGCTTGATGTTTTTGACATCTGTGTGACAGCTTCTTGCATAAGAGATGAGCAGCATGTTATACCACCCAGCTGTGTGTATTAGTCTGCACATCAAGCTGAAGAGCGGCACTTAGCCAGATCTGACAATCAAATGTGAACTAGTACTACCTAGACACAGGAGTGCATTTTAATGTTGTGTGCTTTTTGCCAAGAGGCTGGTACTTGACAAGGAAATTGTCAGAATCTCTCTTCTTCCCACCTTTTTTTTTTTTCCCTTCCCACAGATGTGAGTCCATGTTGAAATATATTTTTTTTTCCCCTGCAGTTTAATGTGGTTGATCTTACGGATAATAAAGCCAATCTAATGTTTTCAGCGATTCCATGTAATAAAATTCTGACAAGCTTTTAGTGATAGACAAGTGTAACTGTCATTCTCTGCCAACTTAATCCAATGGCTTCATGGCCATAACATGCCAGGAACCTGTCCCCAAAGAAAACTGGGGACACAGAGAAATTACAGTGCCAGTTCAGAAATGTCAGTGCTGTTCTCGGGCTCGTTAAGAGTCAGTGCTCAGCACATTGTGAGCGTGGAGATGAGTAAGTGAGAGACACCTGCTCTTATTCTAGTTGGACTGATCTGTAAACCTCCAAAACCTCTACACTTCCTCATGATTTTAAACCTCTGTCATCTTCCTTAATGCTTAAATTTGAATAAATGGAATTAATTGTCACAGAATGCACAGTTATACTCTTAATAGTTCAGCTTTCCTTGTTTATGTGTTTGCTGTAAGCCAGGAATTAGTTACTACATGCAATATTGTTTTCTTCCTTTTTTAAATAAGATTGCCACAACAGAGAAGATTGTTTTGACTTATTTATGCAACCCAAAATTATGATAAAGAGGGAAATGTAGAAGAAAAAGGATTTTTTTATTTGACAATTAATTCTCTTGTCTATGGAATACTCCATTTACAGTAACATTTAGGTGATGAAATATGTAGTTTCCATATAACTTGGTTTCATTAAAGTGTTAGTGATACCTTTTTATATCTTATTCTGTGTTTCCCTTACCATTCTTGTAAAAACCCTGGTCTTACAACATGTAGGTAAGAAATTCATGTCCAGTTATTAAAGTAGGCACAGTTTTGAAGAACACTAGACTGACATGGATTTTGCTCAGTGTAATAAGGACTGATTATCTAAAAAAGAATTTAGGAGTAAAAGTTCTCATGTGCTGAGAGACTACCTAACTTGAATTACTGCTTTGTAAGTTGAGAAGTTCCAATGATTTTTTTTCATCTGTTTTTCCTTATTTAATTTTCCAGAATTGATGGTAACAAGAGAAATAATTGCACCAGTTTCTGTCATTTTAATGCAACTAATTTTATACTTCTATGTTTATATCTTGGTTTTGTCTAATTTTCTGTTTCAATTTTACCCCTCCAAAACAGAAAAAAAGGCTTCTTGAAGAACTTGGAGAGAACAGACTTCCCTATATGACTCCAGCCGATGATGATTTCCATCAGTTGGTAATGTATTTCTTCTAACTTGTTTTAAACTAAAATGAGTTTTTGGACTGAACAAAAAATAAATCTTTCTTCAAAGAGACACTGTGAAATCTGATATGAAAAAAGGTGTCCTGATGGCTGATAATGGACTTCCAGGTGGTGTGAAATAAGATCTCTAGAACTGAGATATTCATGAATGAGAACTTGGTGAACTTAGTTTATTTTTAGGGATGTGCCCTGAGTTCCAGGTAATGTGTAAAAATCAGAGGTTCTCATGCTTTCTTAAAGTAAAACACATCTCATCATTGCTTTAATTTTTTTTTATCTGAACTGTGAAGAGACCTGTTCTTTATAGCTCGTGTTTGGCAGAAGAGGGAGAATATTAATGTAGAAATTCAAATTTTTGGGGCCTAAATTTTACTTTCAAACAATAAGTAACCACTGAGACATTGCTTAAAAAACAAACTGTGGAAACAGGAATACCTCCAATGAAACCAAACAGAAGTAGGATCAGGCCCAGTAGACACATGAGTAGTAAACCAAATGAGTGTATGGAAAAATATGATGAATTAATAGAATTTTCTGCATCTGTCTTGCATCTTTCTATATCAGCTATAAAACACAGGGTAGGTTCAATCAGATCAAATTGGAACACTGTAAGACAAAAAGTATAAGAAATAATCTCGTAGTTTGAACAGCTACAGCAAGCATGCTTACATTACAGGTGTGTTATCTGTCTTCTATATATTGATATATGGCTCAGAGATGTAGAAGTGTGGAAGAGCTGGAAAAATTTATAAGAGCTAAACAGATGGATTTTATTATTTTTATTTTATTTACAAAAACCCCGAACATTCTTTTTAGTCTTAAACTAAAGTTCATGAAGAAATTCTTCCCCTTTTTAAGACTCAGGGAGCTGATTTTTCTCCTTCCTTGTCCTGTTACATCCCCTCCTGTTCTCTTTTTCTGTCTCTGTTACTGGCAAGAGCTGCTTTGCCCAGCATCTTTTTCTTTTCCTATCTTTGTAAATCCACATTCTCATGGAGCTGATGTGAAAAGAGAAGGTGGAGCCAAGATTGCCCAGGTGGCATCTCATTTGCTCAGTATCAGTAACCCATAAATATAGAAGACAGTGGGAACAAGATAAGCAGTGAATCAGACCTGTTCAGGCCTTAATAAACTTTAGATACACTCTTTTTACAAATATATAATTATATTTTTTATGTAGTATATGTGTGCATGCTAGGTATTTTTAAGTATACATAATAATCTTAAGCATCACAAGCACCTTTTAAATTCTGTGGTGGTTATGAAATATTACTTGAATCACAGCTGTAGAAATTACAAATTCCATGATGCTTAAATGCACTACAGATGGGAGGAAAAGAAGGGTGAGAGCCTGAAGACAACAAATTGCAAAGTAAAATATCACATACACTTTAGTTTTACAGTCTGTCTTTCCTGGACAGACCTGCCTTACTCCTTTAAGGATCCACCTCAGATAAAGCAGCATTCTTTGAACATGTTGGAAAGGTTAGGTAGGCTGCAAGTAGAAAAACTGCCATATCCTGTCAGATGTGGAAGTGCACAGCCTGAACAGAAGTAAGAAATTCCATCATAAGCAAAACTTCACTGACATCCTCTTTCAATGTGTCTTGCTCGATGAAGGATTTCAGAAATGGGCCCCAAGCCATAGGCTGAAAAAATGTGATGTTTAATGCCAGTTTGGAATAAGAAAAAGGCTTTTAACAAAGTAATTCACAAATATTTGAAGTACAAACTATCATTTCATTATGTATATGGTAGTTTTCTTATCAAGGATCCTTATTGCTGATTTCTAACTTTATTGTGTCACTTGTGTCCATAGGGTGGATCTGTGTGTTGTGTATCACCATCAGAAGGGAAAGCATCTATATATTTAAAATCTTGTGTGTAACATTAGATGCAGATTTGACCTTTAAATGTGCTTTTTTATTTTTTTTGTCCTGTAGTTGCCAGCAATGTACCTACTTCTTCCAGAGTGAACAGTGAATTGACCTTTAATACTTGCTGTCAGAGTTACAACACAGAGGACATGATTACTCCTCCTTCCCCATCCCCCCAAAACAACTAGGTGTCCTATGAACCCAGCATTCACCCTGGATCTGATCCCTTAATGTTTTCCTTATGTGGGGCATAGCACAGTCACTGGTTGGAGATTTAAAGAAGACCAAAATGTTTTCATGTGATGTGTCGGAAATGTGTTTCCACTTCCTGCTTTCTTTGGAGATATCAGTGTGATTTTTTTCTTTTTAAGGTAGAATTCGAAGTATACAGTGTGAAACTTCATGATAAAGTAGTTCTTAATCGTGTGATATTAAAACAGAATCGAAAGGTAACATGCCTCTGACTTGGCTGGCAACAAAATGTGCAAGGCATTACCTCTGCAGTTCAGAGGGGGGAATACGATGTTGTTACCTTTGTAAAATCTGTGTGTTTTCAGGCACTTAATTGCTTTACATCATATTCTTATTTCCCTCCTTCTGTTTCTAATAGTTGTTTGTAATTTCATGGGTGCAACTCATGTCAGAAATTCAGTCTCTTTGTATCTTCGTATAAATGGTTTAAAAATACGTAGTATTAATGACTGTTTAAATATATCACAGTAGCATATGTGATGTGGTAACTGGTTAATCTGACCTGAGTACGTCCAGTGCACAGAATTATTTAAAGAAACTGGGATACTGTTCTAGAACTGTTAGTACTCTTTCTTTTATACATGACATTTGCATAATGAAAGAAATAATGCAGTAATAACCTTTGTATGTCACAACATATAATATTCTGTCATTATTAAGTATGATTGTGAAAAGGTATTTATGGTTCACATCAACCTGTACCCACCCGACTGCAGCCTGTAAGTCTGAAATGTACAGTTACTGATTTCAGAAGTTGTTGTTTATAAGGATTTTTTCACTGTACTGTTCAGAGGCTGGAGATACACAGCACTGATTGAAACAAAAGGGACAGTTCAGAACCTCTAAAGGAATCATTCTGAGCTTTTGACAAGCTCAGGTGAATTGCTTTTATCAAGTTTAGATTCAGTTCTTTGAATGAAAGCTGGGATCCAGTGTTCTGTACTGGGGATTGTAGAGGGACCTTCAGACAGATATCTGGGACTGTTTTCAAGCTTTATATTTGAAGTTAAGGATGTAAATACAATTGTCAGAAATTATTATTATCTGTAGATACTGTTAGAGGTTTTTTCCCTCTCTCCAGAAAGCTAGTTTTTGTAAACTGTAAGAATGTGTAAAGAAGGGGAGTTAGCTTCACTGTAAAAATTTCACAAGACATGGTGACAAGGGTTACAGACAAACTAAGATTTATTATGTGTAATCATTATTTTTAAAACAGGCTTCCTTTTATGTTCCTCTTTTTAGTAGAAACAAATGATTCTATAAAGCCAACTCTTCAGTGTTGTAGGATAACAGTGTGTTATGATGCAGAACTGTAACTGTTTTCATGCAGCAGAAAATGTTCATACTGACTTACTGCCTGCTTTGTGTTTTTTAAAGGCATGTTCTTTGGATTTTAAAATTAATTTCCTGAAAGGAAAGTCTTAAATGAGACTTGGAAGTAGATAGTACTAGTGAAGTTATTTTGAGTTGTACCAGAAGCAACCCACAGATGGACTGTAGGTCAGTGCGGTGCTTTGTGCTGATGACTTTTATTTGTATTTTTAAAAGCACTTTGAATGTAAGATATTAGGTTAGTAAAAGTTTTGATGGATCAGTTTTGTGCATCCATGTGCTTTTGCCCCATTGCCTAATACCTTCAGATTTCAGTTTACTTTACCATTTTTCCCCACACCACCATTGGTATCTGCCTTTTCCCCAGTATAGTGACTAATTTCTGGACAGAAGGAGATAGGTGTCCTTTGGAGCTTCACACTTGCTAATTGATACTTGATATGCTCACATTGCAGCCTTTCCCTTACTAAAGGCACTAGTTTGCATCTATTTCTTTTATTTATCTATTAATTTTAATGAAATACATAAGAACTCTTTTTAAGAATTTATTCTCTCTAGCCTTTGTCCAGTTTGCCAAACAGTCTCAGCAGTAGTTAAAGCAGATTTACAGGCAGCCAATAAAAGGTATGATTATGTGATACTCGCTTCCTTAGAAAACCAGATTAACAAAATAAAATTATCCAAGCCTTCCTGGAGTGGGAAGCAGTATTGTGCATACAAAGCAAGACGCTGCTGATTAGCAGTGTTATACCTTGCTGGGAGTTGTTGCCTCCACACACTGCTGGATTCTGAACTCCAGCTGATACCAGAGCTGGTATGGTCAGAAGAGGATATGAGGGAAAAGGATATTACAGGTAGGGAGCTGGGGAGGAAAATAAGTTTGGAAATTTTCTGTTATCTAAAAGGAGAACTTTTATATAAAACAGGAGAGCTAATTGGCATGCACTGAGGAATGTGAAAACAGAAAGGACCAGTGTGTGGAGGACTATTTTGAAGTTAGACATGCAGTGCATTTTTTTTAAATTTACATTTTCATTTTGTGACGTTTTCCCTAGGAAGTATTGTTATATCAAATGGTTTGAGTTTATCACGTAGGCCTCTAGAATTCTGTGCATCAGAATGAAACAAAATGGTCCTTGCAACCATTGCAAAAAGAAGAGTTGCTTTTTCACTGCTTCGTAATCTATTGTTTGTATATGTAAAGGTAGCATTATCTACAGGTTCATCAGATGATCTTATATGTTCTACTGATTTCTGTCAGAATCCTCTGATTGATTGATTGATACTCTCTGGTTACAGGCCACTGGTACATATCCACAGTGTGTGCAATATATTGATATATGGAAATAAAGTAACAAATACTGTCATCTTTCTTCACTATATTCTAGACTCATGCTTGATAACTTGACAATTTAGCCTTGTCTCTTCTTCAATATATGAAATATTTTGATTCTTGTAAAAAGAATAATTATTTTCCTATTTCTGTTGTTTGGTGTTTTTGTCTTTTTCTTCTTTAGTGGAAGACCAAATATTCCAAGCTGATTTTCAGAAAATCTGAGACAGTACCTGAAGAGCTCCATCAAATGGTACAAAAAGGCTTTCTGACCTTGCGAGAACACGATTGTTTCTTTCAAGATCTTGTAAGGATCAAAGGAAAAGATTTCCTTACTCCGGTGTCTCGTATATTAATTGGAAACCCAGGATGCACTTACAAGTACTTGAACACAAGATTGTTTACAGTTCCTTGGCCTACTGAAGGTTATGATATAAAATATTGCAGTCCTCAGATACATGATGCTTGTAAAGCATTAATCAGACTTAATGACTACTTGCATATTGAAGCAGTCAAGACATTACAAGGACAAAATTTATGTGAGACCAAAGAAATTAAAGATACTACTGTAATAGATAGGGAGCAAAGTTTTGCTACTTCTCTTACGGAGCGAGGGTCTGTTTCAAAAGATCAAAGTGGTGTTTGTGTACCAGAGGATGACTCCATAAGTCTAGAGAACAGAACATCTTATAACCTGACTTTATTAAATTATATGGATCCGCTACAAATGCTGTACTTGAAACAAGAACCTTATTTTGGAATGGGGAACATGGCAGTGAGCTGGCACCATGACGAGAATCTGGTTGAAAGGTCGACGGTTGCTGTGTACAGTTACAGCTGTGAAGGTGGGTGATGGGAGCTGACCAGTCATATAAGTATCTTAAATCCCTGAACCCCTTTTCTCTTTCCCTGTGTGTATGTGCATAAGCACACCTGCATGCCAGTCTAGGCTTGTCAAGTGCTTCTGAATGCATTGTGGTACCTTTTGTATTTAAGCCTTATCTTTATTTTTACTAAAACCTGTACAAAATATACCTGTGTTTACTGGCTTAGCAGTTGTTCTCTAAGTAGCTTTAAAAATTGGTGTAATTAACTTTCTGACTAAGAGCCAGGAAATCAAAATCTGTCAAATTCCTTTTTCAGGTTAGTGCATGAGCATGTTTTCTGTCCTGTAAAATGTTTCACTGTAGTTGAGATCACCATTTTTATGGTGTTATTTGTCATATACAGACTTGCTTCTACTTTATGCTATTTTTACTACTCTTCTTTCTTTGGAAAGATCATTTTCAGTTGGTCTTGGATAGAAGTATTACTATATTTATTTTGAAGTTATGCATTTTGTCTAGGCATGCTGTAGTGTTAATGCATGTTTTATGGGACTTGCCAACATTTCTGTAGTTGGGAAGGGTGGACATTTTCTGTTAAAAGAACTGTTATCTGACAGGCTTCGGATTTCTTTTAATGACTCCCAGTTTTGCAGGGTGTAAGATTAGAATTTAGACACTTGATTTGAATTTGCAAATGCAGTTATGTTTCATAACTCACAATGGATTTTTTGTTCTTCCAAAAATCCTTTGATGTTTGCTTTAGAGCATGGGAAGAATTCACGTTGACTTCGGCAGGTTTTGGCTAAAGGCTTTGATGTAAAAATGATAGTTTATACTTTCATGTGCATTTTCTTATTGGTTTTGTTATTAGTTTTGAAACTGGGTCACTTTGTTACTTAATGTACAGCTGAAGTCATATTATTTATTTTTTCCTGGACATAAAACATCAACTGGCATAGCAAACTGAATAAAAGAGATTTCCTGACAAGTAAAAGTGTCATTTTCTTCATAAACTTTTTTCTACCCTGTTTGTCAAAGGCATTGGTATTTTATGTCCAGTAAATACATTGGTTTTTTCCCAGTAAGACTGTAGATAAATATTTTTGCAGTAAGATTTTAAGTTAAAGAAACTTAAACTTAATAATACTGTGTGTGAGGATTTATTGTAATATGTTTAAAAACATTTTACTTTAACATAAAATTTGCTTATGGGGGGGAAAAAAGTGAGTCCCTTTAAGTTAAGAGAGCTATAAATCAACAAATATGAAAGCTGCTATGTTTATTCATAACTCGTCAGTTGATTTTGTTTCTTTTATTCAGCAAATTAAATAGGTAAAAATTATGGTGTTTTAAAACCACTGCAAATTCTGTGGAAGATTTGATTGTTGGGGGTATAAAGACATATTTTATACATTTAAACTAAAAATTATTTTTATATCTATGCACAGTTAATGTTTTTGCCACATACAAGATTTTTTCATAAATATACTTACATTTAAAAGTTTGTAATTTTTTTCTGGAGGGTTTGAAAATAGACATGAAAACAAAGAAACTAAGATCTTTCCAGTGAATAAATTAATTTAGATTTAAAAAAAAAATCAAAAATAAAAAAATTACAACTTAAATTTTTTCTGGTTTTGCTCCAATTGAAGTTTGATTATATATGGGGTGCAGGGGCAGGGGGAGGAGAGAAGTCCCTTGGCAGGAGGTGGCAATATTAAAACCTCAGTGTAACTGGAGATAGTGTAAGAGATGTTTTTTTGGGAAGAAAGTTATTTATGAAGTCAGATCTGAACAAGATTAAATTCCACTTATGGCCCTTGAGCGTGGCTCAGGTTGGGTTCTTGAACCTGAGAGGGAGTTTGAGGTGCCTGGCGTGGCTCCTGAGCCTCGTGAAGAAATGTCCTGTGGTGTCACTTTGTGTGCAAACAGTTCACTCATCTGTCTGTGTGCAGGGAGGGGTTGTCACTGTATATCCCTGAAGCAATGACCTGCTTCTTTGTAAACTGGAGGAAATGCATCCTGTTTATAGCTTATGAGCATGGCTTTGTAGTTGAAATGACAGTAAATACTTGTGTGTGCTGAAGTTTTGTACCCAGCACATACAAGAGGAGGGACCAGTCTGCTTGATTGTAGAGAAATAAATAGATTGGGGTTTTTTGATCTTCTGATTTTCTGTTCACAGGTTTCCAATGCTTGTAGTTATAAGCTTATCAGTGTTTATGATATTATTCTTTCCAGTTGCATATCATTTCAGTGGTTTCTTCAGTTCAGAGACTTCCAGATTTCCCATGTATCTTACCGAGCTCTCCATAACTGTAAAACAAGAGGAATCTCAACATCTTTTTGAAAATTGTTGTGATATCTGTGTAGAATCATGTCTTGACTTCTCTTATTATTTTCCATAAATATATTTACTTTTTTGCCAATATCTTTGATTAGTACTTAAGCCATTAATTCATTTAGTGTCGAGTTAGCATTGAGTTCTCACTGTGATGTATAATGACTATCACAGAATCATTACAGAGTACATAATAAAAAGAGTAGATGTGGTCAGAGTTTTTTTGATGGAACAATTTTTCCTTAGGAAATGTCACTTAGATAGATTTGTAATTTTCTGGGAGAAAACACTGATTCTGTGGGAAATGCACACATGCATAAAGCACGTTTATTTTTGTTGAAACCAACGTGATTCTCTTTTCTGCTAGGTCTTGCCCATTTTTTTTGTCAGCTCTCAATTCCTCAAATTCTCACTGGTCTCTGAGGTACTCCAAGCACTGAGGATCTGTGGCAGCCTTTAGTATGTGGAAGCTCAGGCTTCCAGAGCTTCATGGCTAGTGTTGATCTACCCTGCTGCCAGTGCAGAATCCCCAGGTTGTCAAATTTTGAACAGCAGGAGCCCTAGGAGTCAGGCAGTCTTACTGTGTTATGGCAGCTCTGTCAGACTGTTTAGAGATGCACAACTCAAGTTATGTGGTTTTCTTTTACTTTAATTTGCATTTTTATGTCATTAATTGTTAGATACCTACTTATGTGATTAAATAGTGTTAAAACAGATACTGCTGTAATTGAAACCACTTATTTTTTTGTTCACTTGTTTCCTGTTTGATGCCATAATGAAAATTTAATGTTTGAAACTTTGATCAGTGTTAATTGGAGTAGAAGCAGTTTTTAATATGCTGGAAAAGAAATTTAGGCACCAACATAAAGATATTGGAACAAGCTGATATTCTAATTGGTATCAGTGTTTATTTTCTTGTTTCCTTTGTCAAATTGTTTCAAAGCAACCTCAAATGAGTTACATTTCTAACAACAAAACAAGGTAAACATTTTGCTTGATGCTCATCTGAATAATAGTTGCTTTATACATTACACTAGGCTAAGAATAGGTTGTCAAGCGATAAGAACAGACCCTCATAAAAATTTGAGAGGTTTCCTTTTAGTGTGTGTGCTGCGTGAAAGTGCATGAGTGGCAGTCATGGTGCATATGCAGAACTGAATAGGTTACTGAATGTTTGTTCAATTATACTGTCACTAACAATATTCAGCATTAATTTACCTTTCAGAATTTACTAAGGAACGGGAATTTCAAATTTCGACCAATTCAGCATTTTTAAAAACACATTAGCTTACAAATATCCTATCACCTGAGAGCATTAAGGTAAAAACTTATTCAGGATTTTAATATAGTAAGCTAATAACCCGTTTTTATTTCCTGCTGCAGTTATAAAAGTGAATTGCAATCCAGTAGAATAAGGGCATTTTCAAAAATTGGATTTTATCCATGAAAATTTCCTAATGACCAGCTTTCCCTCAGGTCATTTTAAGTTTTGCAGGAAGTTTTATTACTTAGCAGAGCACTCGTTGGTTCTAAAGATGTTCTTTGAAGTTGAGGCTTGTTTCAGTTACTGACTTAAAGGAGATGGAAAAGAATGTGATCGCTTGAAGTGTGTCCATCTTTCTGTTACCTGGATTTCCCACAGACTCTGTTGGAGGTTGGATAAGTAGTTTTCCCTGGATTCTTTACCATATCTAGTTTGTCTATAAGGCCTGTTTGCTGTTTATCTCTTGAACTTCAGAATAACTGGCACTGGTGGTTGACAAGGTGATGTTGGAAGGTTTAACAGATTTATGGTTGGTTGCAGTGAATTCTGATGTTGAAGGAGCTTTTATGCTTGTTTCTTTTGCACACCTTCTCTTCTGTATTTTTTCACTCTGTGATGTTAGAAGCAGCATCCTAACACTAAACCTAATGATGACTGTTTCATTGAATTGTTAATAAAAATAATTGAGATTCACTACAGATGTGTGTTTCCTTACTAGGTTAGAAAAAAAAATCCTGAAACTACAGAAGTTGTTTGGAATTGAAGTCAATCTAACTTTGTAGTTGACCAATAACCCTCTTTATGTACTGCTTAATGGATAAAAGTCATGGAGTAGACATCTGTGCAGGATGAGACCAATTATATGAAATGATTTCTAATGTCAATAATATTATAGAAATATTGCTTGTTGAAATAACAGAAATGGTATTTAGGAAATTATATATTACTTCTTAAGAAATTAATATTTGTGTGGCATGGTCATATCTCTAACTTGTAGTTTCTGACCAATTGGAATTACATTCTGAGAATCACAAATTTTTAATGATCCAATTACTTTCACAATAGTAGATTTGAATCCCTGTTATCTAAAAAGAAATCATCATTTGAACTGACTGTTGTGGGTTGTGGGGGTTCTTTTAAACATACTCTCACTGATTTGTTCAAATACAGTCTCTCCTTCAGGAATGAAGGGGTGAAAGAATATTCTTTGTTCTTATTTTAGTGCTTTTGTCCTTGATAAAGCTGAACACGATATTCCAAATATGAATTGATAAGAACATTGTTGGCAAATGTTAGGATTTTTGGGTTTGTGAATGTCATTTGCAAGAAAAAATTAAAATGTTGGTACAGTTTAACTTCTTATGCTATGGCTTTTCAAGTAATAAGGAAGAAGAAATAACTCTGGGCAGATATTTATTCTTTCCACCAGCTGCTAAGAAGCAAAGCATGCTCTGCTTCTTCCACTTCTTGCATACAACATATATAACTTGCTATTGAAAGACACTAATAATTTATATATTTGATTAATTCAGGGACATGTGCCCAAATTCTTTTAAGTTCTGGAAAAATCAAACAATCTGTAAAAAAAGCCAGCCTTTTTTTCTGTAACTCTGTAACAATGGTCAGTTGGATTTAATGACAGAGGAGATGCTTTCAGTCCTTTTTTGGCAATGTGTTGGCAGTGATTCTCTTGTCTTAAGAAATCAAGCATAAGATTACAGCTTGACTTGAATAAAGAACATTTAGGTTTTAGAGTGTCAAAAAAGTCTCAAACTCTCCAGATTTTGGTGTTAAATAACAAAGAAACCTTTCAAAACCACTTTCTGTGCCATGGAACAATAACCAAACTAGTTCCAGGAAAACAAGTTTCATGTTGTTCTGAACCTGACCATGACCAAAGCCTGATAAGATCAGTTCTGAGAGCTGGAACATCTCTGAAATTTGAGCTGCCTAGTTAAAAGTGTAATGTTGTGGCCAGTTTTCTGTAGAAGTTACATTCTCTCCTTCATGGTTCTACCATAATGGCAAATTTGATGAGGTATTGTTGTTATGTTGTGATGAGCTTGTTACCTGATTGCACCATTTCATTTGGGATGCCAGCATAAAGGTTTTTTTACAGGCCAAAGTGTATAAATCTTTACTGACCAGAATTCAAATTTGAACATAATTTTGTTATATTTCTACTAAGTACTGTTATATTTGACCATTTCTGTATGGTTTACTTCAAAATTAACTTGTGTTCTTAAGGTACTGGGTATGTGCAAGATCAATATGATTTACTGTCAAATACATATGATATAGATGCATCCAAATGTTTTCACTTAAATGGGAACTGTAATTATATCAATAAATATACAGCATTCAGTCATGCTTGAGGTGTCATAGAGAATTTAATAACAACTTGTTTTTATGTAAAAGTTTGTCAGTGCTACCTGGGGATATGCCACAAATGTTGAGGTGTCTTTTCTTCCCTTGCTCTCACTTTCAGAGTAGTGTGCATTTAAAAGCAAGTAGCAGCTTGCTTCCATTTGTTACCAAAATAACATGGTAGGAGCAATCAGTTTCAATTGCTGCTGATAATTATAAGGTGCAATAATTGAGAATATAGAGAAAAGGAGACTGTGAGCTGCATTTGAACTCAGTACTTAAGCAATAAAAAATTTATCAAACTGCAAAAAATAAGTCATTTTAACGAGCACATTCCAAAGGTGCTGGATTTATGAGGAGACCCCAGGAAACTTTGATTGAAATTGCTGTCTCTGATTGTAGTTCTATATTTTATTGGTGCCATATTGTGAACAGTGCTGCTGCCAAAGTGAATGGGAAAGCAGAATAACAGAGAGAGTTAACCCAGAAAGGTTACTTCTTTTCATAATATCCATGATGTATTGCATTAAAAATGCCTTGAAAGCCATCCTATTTGCAGTTTTCAGAAAACATTTTTCTTAAATTAAGTTACGATTTATCTGAAGAGGGTAGAAAACATGAAAGCCCCTTGAAGAGTTTAGTATTGATTTTTCTGAGTATTTGCTAGCTCTTGTTTTCTCATTTGTGTGCTCCTTGATAGAAGGGCCTAGACTTGCTCCCAAGCCAAAGCTTCAGTTGGATGAGAGCTGCAGCAGTGAAGGGAGGGAATTTGGGGACTAAACTTACAGTAAGATTTTTAACTTAAGAACTTTTTAGATTGGCTCTTCAAAAGGTTTTTGCTTCCTGAATATAGACAATATTTAATTGGCATAATAACTAATAGGTTGTCTTAATTTTCCAAGGGCAACCCCCAGTTAAAAAAGCAATGTAGTAACCACGTGAGAGGAGTGACATGAATATTTTGAAAGTGTGAGTTCAAGGCCGTGTTTTGTGGGTGCCTATTCTAGTAAGAGCTATATGTGTTTATATATTTTTCTTCTAGAATTAAATGAAGGGAAGGGTTTTAAAACTTATTACATGAAAGCACATTTCAAGTGGACAGTGAAATGGGCACACACAGTTACTAACTTGTAAGCCAGAATTAGGCATGTTACATAGTTTACTTCTAACCATTCACTGCCATTCTGTGCCAACTGCCTATTAAAACTTCATCCTCCCTGTCAAAATGCTCTGTTACTTCAGCCCTAAAACTGTTATACCATAGCTCCCAAATACCTTGTTATAAGTGCTGACTGTATCTTTCAATTTATACTGCAGTGAAGTAAGCTTATGAAAATAGTTCTGAGGGATTAAGCTCTAAATACTATTTCTATGCAGTGGATTATTTTTTCCCCAAGCTCAACATGTTCGTGTTGCCTAATGATAAGAAAAGTGTTGCGACAAATGTATTGAAGCTTCATTGGCTCTTGCACGTTATCTAGCATGTTTGACTAATAATTTTGAGAAAAGAATGACAGATGTGATTCCAAGATTTGCTCAACTTTGGTCTAGTCTGTGTTTTGTAACCATTATTTCACCTTACTTTGTCTCAGTTTATGATTTACTGAAATTGCAAGTATGTACACAAATGAAATTGCTCATAAAATGCTTTGGCAGTTTATGACTTGAAATTCTTTCAGAAGTTATCTATTGCTATATCATTGTTAATGCATTTTTAAATTTTTTTCTTCTATGCTTATAGTTTTAGTAATGAAACAAATTAAATTGAATGAAGCTTAATGAAAACTCCTCTTGAACGTGCTTGAGAACTTCAGAAAACCTCAAGTCCACTACAAATCTTGGCTTGATTTGCCTTTACTTTGCAATTAACCTGAAGTTTTCATCTTGGTAACTTTTTTACTTTTACCTATTGCATACTTGTGAATTTGGAGATGATGATTATAGCAAGTGGAGGTTATAGAATCTTTAAGCCTGTTAAGATTGTACCAGTATGGGCTATCTTTAAGTCTGTATTATTAGATGAGATTTTATGTTTTATGATTCTTACCCTGTCTCTCATGTTTGTGGTGTTTTTCCCTCTCTCTCAAGATTCAGGTGTGGGAGAATGCAATGAACAAGAACTGAAGGGAAGAGACCCAGCTGTTTGGCACGTAGGCTTGAAGGTAGCGTGGGACATCGAGACACCTGGATTAGCAATACCACTTCACCAAGGAGACTTCTACTTGATGCTTGGTAATTTTCAAGTGCTAAAAAGTTAAACTTTCTGTTGACAGTAGAGAAAATTACATTTATATTTAGGTAAGTTACAACACCTTCCTTTTGGTTAGGGCTTTATTTAGAAAGATGTGAGATCTGGCTAGAGTATATAATAAATTCCTTCTTCCCTGCCTACTTCTAGAGTATTTTGAAGGAATTTTTTTATTAATGTTTCTTTCACTTCACAGCTAAGAAAGAAATAGGTTTTTTGTGCCTTTTCTATCTGTTTTTTAGTCAGAATTAGTAGACTAGTTGAAGACAGGCTTCAGGCCACAGCCAGAATTTCCTCAGATCTTGTGAGAAGTTACACCGTATCTGTCTCATCCTTGTACTTCTAGATGCTTTTTGTATTCTTAATGCAGTTTTTCTGAGTAACTGTGAGCATTTGCATCTGTTATATTCAACAAATAAATTTCTGTTCTTCAGCGTGGCTTATAGGGTGGCACCTGTATTATGTAAGCTGTGAATGTAGCAGTCTTATAGTTTTCTGGTACCATGGTTCTTGAAGTTTCAGTCATTATACCAATCTGTGGATGTTTTATTAGTCACCAATTTTACACCTGACACTTCTGTCCTTCTGCTACACTTTTCCATGCCTATATTCAAACATGCTATTTTCTAGTAGTGGGATTATACTAAGATCATAATGAACAGAACTGCCTTACTTTAAGAGTGAGTCTCAATGTCTCAAGCATAGAGGATTAAAAGAAGAAAATTAAATTGAGTTAATTTACTTGAGCAGCTGAGCTCACACACTCAGGTTTTTCCATGGAAAGAAACAAAGCGAGAACTGCTCCTAAGGTTTATTGACACAAAATCTGTTGCTTTTTCTTTTGACTTGTGTTTCTCTTGGTTATAACTTTTTGTTTAAATAAATTTGGTTACAAATCAAACAAAACAAGAACAAGGCTTTTGGCAACATCACAGTTGCCTGATTAGTGTCTTGGCTTGACAGACGTCACCTTTGAAGACTGAGAGCACTTGCACTGTTGCCTGTTTGTGTTTGTGCCTTGGAAGGTAAACTCCATGGAATGTCCCTAGAATGACCTGTCACTCCCAACTTGATGAGCAGAACAGTCTTTTCAACTTTGCCTTTCCCTTTCGTCTTCCAACAAAGATGAAAACAGTTTACTTACAACAAGCAATACATTTGTTGGCCATCTTAAAAAATATATACTATTCTGTGTTCTTACTTACCTCATCAGATCTTGTGCACTGTCATCAATGAGGTGTCTTATGTGAAAGCCCTGTACTGACTGTGCTCTTAAGTGTGTTCAAACGTGAACAGATCAAGTGTTAAGATGTGAGATCCTTTGGCACAGTGGTCTGGATGTGCCTCCCTTTTCTGTATTTGTGAGGAGACAGAAAGAGAGAGTGAAGTGGCAGCTAAACATTCTTAGAAAGGCTACTGTTAATCTATTTTTGTGCAATAGCATCTGAGCCATCAAGTAAACTTCTTATCTAATCCTTCCTGACTGGAAAGTTTGTGCATACACAGCTGTGCTGGGCAACAGAATCAGAAGGTGATTAATGAAAGAGGGGGTATAACTTCAGTATTTTGATTGCAAAATACTGTAGATTGTAGTTGACTGAGTTACCAGATCATAAGGGAGTTTTTTTTTCTTCCCCAATGGAATTCAAATGCAGTAACTGAAGTACTTTCAGGAATGCTCTGTGAAGGGTGGCTCAGAAAATTAGTTTATTTAATGTGTAACATTTTGGGCCTGTTTAGATGGAAACAAAGGATATATTTAACATTCCTTTGAAGATGAAGAGTAAATCACTTTCTTATTAATACTTTGTGAAGAGCTACAGATTTGAGCTCTGTAGGCCAGGTGTTTTGTTAATCTCTTCTGCGTTTCCATAGTCTTTGTCTTTCTTTTCAATTACTTGAATAAAAAATTACTCTTCTACACAGTCTAAGAGGGTATTCCAAAATGGCCCTTTTATTGGGTTACTGTGTGCAGCAGAACTGCCTTTATCATTTTTACTTGAAGTGGACATATATTGTTTTAGTGTGCTTTTTACTGTTCAGATTTTTTTGAAATGACTTTTAAGAGGAGGCACCTTGAGGATACCATCTAAAAGGTAAAATAGGAAAGTTCTGTTTGAAAAAAAAAATCCCTTGGCAATAGAAAAAGAAAATTTTAGATTCCTTTCTCTTGTGCGTTTTTACGTAATATATTCCAGACCCTCATTTTCAGTAAGCAGAGTCTTCGTACTGGCATTATTTTGAAAAGCAGTGGCAGCAGTAAGTAAGACATCTAGAAAATAGAACATTAAGAGTACTGCAGCTACTGGAGCTGTTGATGTGCAGAGGCTGGTTGATATATCGGACTGGTAGTATTGGTTCTGACTACCATTGACTCATCCAGTCTAGCAGAAGACTTTGTAACTCTGTAGGTCTGTTCTTCCAGTTGTTGAGATGGTGCAGTGCTTACTGCTTTATATGGATTCTCTAAAGTGCTGAAATGTTGCTTATAATTAAAAGTCTGGTCCTATCAAGTCCTATACCTGTAGTACCGTGAGTATTACACACAAATCTTATATAAAGAAGTGTGGTAATAGTAATGTGCAATTGCAGTAACTTGTAAATCCAGATCAATGGGTGTAGCAAAGTAACAAATTAAAACAGGGGTGTTTTTTTAGCATTTCTAGTAGACATTTAATAATGTTTATATTCCCCTCTTCATTGGCTCTATAAAATGGATTTTGTTATTCCGGGTAGAAATTAAGTAAAGTGTCTTAAAATTTAAATTGACATTGCCTTCTCAGCAGCCCTCTTCAGATGAAATCGTGAGCTGAAATTTTAATGCATGTTAATCCTAAACATGAGGTGACCAAATTCATTATTCCATTAAGCTGTTACAATATTATAAGGGGTGGGGGGTTTTAGGCAAAACCAATCAAAACTCAAAATTACTTTCAGTAAGACAGATTTTTTTGAAATAATTTTTTTAAGTCTTTCTGTAATAATAAGAAAAAAAGTCTGGTGAATGACTGCAAGTCTGCTGCCTAAAAACGAGAATCTGAACTTTATATCACTCATGAAACGGAAACACTTTAGCTCAATTTAGAATAATATATTGGTCTGCAGAGGAAGTGCATACTGAACCCTGCTGTCTCAAGTACACAGTCAAAGGGTGTCTAATATGAAACGTGTTGGGTGCATGCAATAAATCCAAAACGCGTGGAGGTGAGCAAAGGGCCCCATCTGCTCTGTCCTAGAGCATGCTTAACTAGGGTTGTCATGGTCCTACTATTAAATTGGAATCTTTCCCCTAATCTTTGAGTTAGACATGACCAGATTTGCAAGCAGATTTACAATTTTCACTAATTTTCCTACCATGACTTCAAAACATACCTAACAAAAATACATTCTGGACTCTTTCAAAGGCAGATTTACTTTTCTGCAGCTGTTTCCCATAGATCAAGCTCTTGCTTGAAGGTTAGGGTTTTAAAACAGCATGAAGATGAACTTTGAATCTTATACCACTCCCACCCCTAGCAAATTATAGTTCGAGAAGCATCAAAAAATCATTTTCCTAACCAACCAGAAGTAGGGTGCACACATTGCAGAGGTTGGCTTGTGGTTAAAGATAAGTATTTAATGGAAGCGCTTCCACATGTATATAATGACTCATTAAGCTATTTCTAGATATTTAATCTGCTTCTATTTTCACAAACTGACTTGAACCCTCTTTACTCTCTAGCATCTTGAATGTGTTGGAGTTTTTTACCTCTCCCCTCTCCTTTTTTTTTTTTTTTTTGAGTCCACATTTAATCCAAATGGTGTATTCCTTACTATTAAGACTTAGAACTTCAGGAATGTATTTGTCATTACCAAACTTTGATCATGAAGGTTGGCAAATCTCAGACACATTTTTTTAAATTTTAAAATTTACTATTTAGCTTTTAATTAATTGTATTTTGTTTGTGCAAAAAACTAAAAATATTTCTTAGTTAGGGAAAGATCATCCTTCTAGCTTTCTGTTATGAAAGTAGTATTCCACTATTTCTTAGGAAGGAGACATACCTTCCTGGTCTTTTTATTGATACATCTGCAGTAAAATTAGTTTTGTTAGATTTTTTCCTGTTAAAGCATTGTGTGCAGTTGGATACAAGTAAAATGGAAATGGTGGAAAAGCACTTTAGTGCTTTGAAAATTGCGCTGTAATATGGTTAAAAATAAAATTCTTTACTTGTTAATGGTAGTTAAGAAAGCTAATAACAAAAGTCCCTTTCACTTCTGTTTGTAGATACTTGTGGTGGCTAGAATATTAAAACTTTTGCCAGTGCTTTAAACATCACTGTACTTTTTATTTGCTTTATGAAATAGATGATGAAAAGGCAAAGGTCTAAAAAGTTCAGGAAGAACAGTTGAGAGAAGATAGAAAAGACTATATAAACCCCTGTTGATAATTCTGAGAGCCATTTTCCATTGTGATTTGTGTTTTCCTGGGAAGTACTTTACCTCCAAGTAATAAGTTTTGGGCCTTTAGTCCCCACTCCCTTAAGTAAGGTTTGGCTAAGAATTCCTTTTCCTTCTACCTTGTGTTTGTTATGACTTAATAGTCTGCAGTGACATGGGTGTACAGTCATTGTTTCAGAGTGCTTTTGCTCCTCACCTCACTGGTGCTCTGATAATTAGTTAAGTAGTAGAGTGAGTTAACTGTGTGTATGTTATTTGAATGTATAGACATATCCATTAGCCTGTTCTTTTGATAAGGTCTGTGTAAGCACAGTGCTTTCAGTGTTTCTGCTGGTGGAGTTCAGGAAATTCAGCTGTCTAGAAGAAACTGGAGATGTGGACAGAGCAGGAGCAGGGACTGAGAACAGTATGGGAGAGAAAAGGAAGGAACTGGCAGTACTTTGAAGCAGCAGTTGAGGACTGTGCTGAGGTTCTGTTCTGAGAGGGACATATTTGAGAAGAAAACCAGGCTGATAGATGTCAGTACAGGGGAGGGAGAGACAGATCTATAATGTGAATCTGCTTCCACCATTTAAAATAGAGTATGCAGCATCCAAATTCCAAAATGTGTCTGCTATCTCTAAATGGCAGTAAAATCACTGAGAATTTTTGCTGGTAAGGAGGCCCCACACAGAGAATCATAGTCTGCATCCAATAGCAGAGGGGTGGTCAGCTGTTAAATCTATGGCATTAGATTCAGCTGTAAGCCCACTTCCTGCATAGAACTTCCATGCAAATTTTGGCAAGTCCCGTAACCTCTACTTACCCTTAGGTTTTTCTGTGTTGGTTACCAGCTTTACAGAGGCCTTGCAAAATAACAAAATAGCATTCGAGCATGTATTGGACTTTATTAGTTTTTCTTGATTGTTCTCTAGAATTACTGTTTTAAATTAGGAAAATTCATAGTGTTTTAAAATTTATAAACGTTCAAAAAGCCTGATGAGACTTCAGAAAAATGTTCTGTGCAAGTGACAGCATTTTTCATAGCCGTGGGAAAGCTTTGGGAGAGGAACAGTCATATAAGCAGAAAATTGTAGTCCAATTCTCAAAACTTCTTTCTTATCTAGCAACTAGTTAATTGGCATATGCATCTTTTAAGCATGCATGTGGAATTTTATTAGAAAGAGAAAGGATTGTGAGACAATTCTTGAAACTACTAAATACATTGCTAAGTTGGTGTTAATGGTAATTTAAAATAATAAGTCGCTTCTCATATGCATTATACAGTTCAAATAAGTTTTTGTTTCTGTAACAGATATTAAAATGAGATATCCCTGCCATAGTTGTCCAGAACTGGTGGCAAGGTAAAGTCCCACTGTTTTGTGACAGGAAAGACCATGTTGGCTCACTGCAAATTCAGGAGAACTGTCCAACAGACAACTGGCCTGCCTGCAGTTTTCCAAAGCAGGGTGCACAGATATATGTCTGCTTTTATATACGTGTACTTTTCGTGATGCATTATGCTGAAGAGGCAGCGTTTTGGTTTTCCAGACCTTACCAGTCAGTGCTTAGTCATTTAAAACTGATGTTGCCTTCACGTGTGTTGTATTTTAGAGAACCCACGAGAGCGCTGTGGCAGTTCTGACACGGGTGACCGAAGAGTGTAACAGCTTTGGTTTGGCTCTAAAACCAAAACAGTAATCTGGGTATGGTTTCTGTATCTGAATAAAAGCTTTTACTGCCAAATGGACAATGGCCAATTTAACAAAGAGTGATTTTTCTTCTCAGTTAATATATACTTAGTAGAAAAAGAAAGCAGATCTTTACCGTAATCTTTTAAGACCTAAAAGGTATTTTTTAATGTGCTTTGAGGCATGCAATCCATGAAGCTTCAACTATTTTTGTACGATTAGAGTTTTAGATGAATTGTAAACTCTTAAATTAAAATTACAGGCTTCTTTCTAAGATTCATAAAGGATTAGAGACAGTTGGAAGCAATTCCAAGGCAGAACTCTACAGTGAAAGATTTGCCAAGGGTTTGAATAAAGGTGCAAATCAAAATGTAATATGTCTAATTCTGTGTTAGCTAAATAAAACATGCCACACTGAATGGACACTGAAAGGGGTAGTGGAAGTGTTTGGGAAGACGTGACTGAATTATCTAAGCACTGGAGAAAAAAGTAGTGTACTTAATTCATATTCAACCAGATTAACTTCTATTAAGTATAATTTTTTCCTGTCCCTAGATGATCTCAATATGACACATCAGCACTGTGTTCTGGCTGGTTTATCACCTCGATTCAGCTCAACTCATCGAGTGGCAGATGTGAGTATCAACAATGTTTAGCTGTTTGGTCCTTTGTAAAACTAATATTCTGGTACCTTATGTGTAACATCATGGTGTGTTATCCAGATTTGTGGTTCATGTTATGCTTGTGACTCAAACTGTTTTCTTGAACAACTCCTTTTTGATTAGCTTTGTACTAAGACCCACTTGCTTCTGTATTGGTAGTTTACCTAAACTCCCATGTAGACATGTCAGATATGAATTCAGACTGTGCTACATCACACCTCATGGATTGCTGATGAAATATGGAAACTGCTTTTTACCTGAAATGTTCTACAGCTGTTTTACTGTGTTCATATTCCAGTCCTAGTTGAAAGGTGAAATTCATGATGAGATAGAAATACTCAAAACACACACCAGCAGTGTCCACTGGCAGAAAAAAAGGCCTTTAGGAGATCAGAACAACCAAGACTAGGCATGAGTATGCTTTAAATTGTGTCCTTCTCTGCATTGAGGATTGAATAAGCAGAAAAGCTAGCTTCAGCATAGTTTATATCAATAACTATGTAGACAATTCAGGAAGCTTTACACTTTTGTTACTGTTCTACTTTGGTTATTTCAGAAGCAAATTGTTCAATATACTTGAGAAGTACATACTTTCTGAAGTGGCTATATATAAATTTTTGTTGTATCTTTATAGTGTTCTAGAGGAACATTGGAATACATATTTGGACAATGTGAACTGGCACTCCAGAATTTACAGACTGATTCTGATTCAATGGCTTTATCTTTGAAATCCCTGGAAGCTGCAGTTGTGAAGCAAGTAGAAGAAATACATAATGAGGTGAGATGATCTGCACCAAAAATGCTTCAGCCAGGTCTGAGTGATGCAGTCTCTTCATGGACTTAATGACAATCGTCTTCAATCAGTGCTTACATTGCTTTGTGTGAGTTTGCAATGTGGATTTTATGACTTTTTTACTTGGCTACAATAATGGGGATTATCATGGAAGTTTTCATTTTTCCTTCTTAAGATCCCTCTGCTGGTAAAATAAGAGAAGTTTCATAAAATATTGCTCCAAATCTGGCAGTGTGGTGAACAAACAAACTACTCTAGTGCTTCTCTAACTGAAAGGAAAAGAGAGAAGAAATTAGAGGATTAGAGGGAAAGAACAGGTAGAATTTTACAGCTGTTCCTCCCTGGTTCCTGTTGAACCAGCTTTTTCCAAAGGCTGGTGCACCACAATTGTGAGTGTGGGCTTTAAAGTGTGTTCTGAAGAAAATGCAGTGGAAGACATTGTGAGGAACATATTTAAGAAGGTCATTTAGTGCTACAATATATGCAAGTGTAACAATGCACTCTGACAGGACTGCACTGAAGCTGGCAGTGCTTTCTTGATTGGAGCTGTGTTGTGTTTCTGTTAAGATAAATACAATCACTATTAGAAGGTGTACATGGGTCATTTTCACTAAAATTAGACTTTGTGTGAAATGTTTAAATTGCTGTCTGCTGAGGAATTCTCATTCTGTAGTGTTACCAAAACTTTGTAGAGCACATTTTTATCTGTATTGTGTTTACAGTTGGTAAAATGGGGTATACTGTTGGCAAAAGATTTGCACCCTTGACTTTTACCAAAACACTCCTAGGGTAATTTAAAGAAGTCTGATGCATGGAGGGGTTTACAAAACATTAATCAGGCTCAGTCCATAAAACTACACGCATATGTGGTTTGCACAGCAAGGGCCACATGCACAGCTGGTGTAAATTTGCACGGGTCCTTTAACATCAAAGCCATGTGCTGCTTACATCAGGTGAGAGACTAGCCCCTGGTGTTTGCAGTCACCTGAATAATTTTGCTGTGTGACATACAGGGATGTTTCCTGTTACACATATGGGATATACTGTAACAGCAACCTTTGTTTAACTTGTATATATTGTGCACTTAGACTTAAGAGACACGTTGGATCTATATTTAATTTGAAAAGAGAATACTCATTTTTTCTGCTCTTTTTGTTTATTCTTTTATCCCAAGGTCATCTCTTTGGCTGAAGGGTAAATTCTGTATGTTAGAGTGCCACTTAAATTTCATTTATTATTGCACAAGTACACAAAAGTTCTAGTGGTTTATCTCTGGTAAATGCATATTTCTTTTTAAAATGTCAGTGAAGTGAAAATATACAGACCTGTGAAGCTATTGGAACTTTCCTTGCATCTAAAATCTTCCTACCTTCTTTTATTCTGTGTGAAAAAATTTTGTCTTTTCAGGCACTAATACAGATTTTAGATTCAAAATTTCTCATGCAGGTGAAAAACAAGAACCTGTTTTGTTTCTTTAGATAATCAACTTGCTTACTAATGAAAATGAGCCTTGCATTTCACTCCCTTAATTTCTTAATATTTTTTAATGCAAAATCTAAATAGCACAAAAAGCACAACATAGTATTGATGGAGAAGTACCACCCAGTTTCCCAATCTTGCTGGTGTATTTCTGGTACACAGCTTTCTGTGCTAATTCTAAACCTCCTTGTAACTTTTTTTTGTTCCTCTGGACCAGAAATCACGAGCTTGAAATGAGAGTATTCCCATCTCTAAAGGTGGTGATACTGATGTATTTTATTTTCAAATGTTGTCATAACTAAAGTTTTTCAGTTTAACTCTGATAACTAGATGCAGCCGTTGTTATTGATTCTTTAGCTTCTTGAAATGCTACGGGTTCATTTATTTTTACCCTCTTGCTGGTACCTCCAAAGTCATCAGAGAACATTAACCAGAACAGAACCATCACAGTACCAAGGTAAAATATAGTAGTTTAGCAGAGGTTCCCAGTCTGTGCTGAAATTAACTGCTCTGCCAAATGAGGCCTGGATGAATTATCAGTGTGTACTAGAGGGAAAAAGCCTAAGAACAAGTCTCAAAAAATGAAGTATGATTCTGTGCCTTCACTGCTGTACTCCTGGGCAGGAAAATTGACTTACTGTGCTGATGAAGTGCATTTGAACTGAGGATCTGAAGCATAGGTAGAGACTTTGGGGTTTTTTTTCCACTTTCATGGTGGGCAGAGAAACCTCTAAGAGAAGTATGGGTGAGTATCTGGGGGATGTCTTTACTTGATATTAAATTTCCCAGAGTTCATTTGTTGGGGCTCTGTCTTGGATGTCTTGAGATGTCTTCCTGTTGAAGAAGTAGAATTCTAACCTGAGGAGGTTTTTAGCATCTCTAGTGGGCAGCCAGGTGGAAGTTTAATATTTCTTTAGACCTAGCTTTGTTGTCATGGTCTCCCTCAGTAAAACAGCCTTCAAAGGAATATCTGAGTAATTGCAAGGTATGTGCTGTTTGTTAGATGTGTGAGTCACTTTGGTCCCAGTATGCACTTTGTAGTTGTAAGTAAAGATAGCCTTAATTAAGGGTGTTCACGTGCTGCTTGTCTGAGTAGCTTGTGGGCTTGCAGTCTGAACAAATACTTCAGTGGCAGGGGTGTAGCTGGGTGAACAGATGTAGTTACCTTACAGCTGTGGACTACAATAGCCTAAAAACTCACACCCAGTCACAATCAGATCACTGTTTGGCCAGTAATAATTTATGCCAAAAGAAATGATCTTGCCGAATTCCCTGAACAGGAACCTCTTGCTCCTACTGAATTACACTTGGCTTTCCAAAATACATATAGCTGCTGAGTACATCCCAAACAGAGCTACAGGGGACCTGGGGAAAACCATTGGCAATTGCTTTTTAAAGTAACAAAGCACTGCTGAACAGGTGATGTAAGTGCTCATATGTAAAAATCTGCAGAAAAGATCTTCACCCTCCTATTCTTCACATTTCAAAGAAAATTTGCTTTTCTTGCTCTAATGCAAAATCTGCTAATAGTTCATGTTGATCTGAGGTACTTTCCAAGGCTTCTTTGTTTGTCAACACCAAACTAATAATTGGATATTCTCAGTGAAGTAAAACACTAGAGGAGTTTTTTTTTAGTGTCTAGGGATTGTGCTAAAAATATGGCAGGTTTCAAAGGAAGTACTCAAGTTTGAAAGATAGAGGTTTTTTTCTCATCAGGATATTTGCTCAGCTGTAATTATCAGATCCTAAGACTGAATGGGTTGTCCTGCTGCTTGTGAGGTACAGTCACCTTTGCCTACAGCAAATCTGTTTTTATGGCAGCAGTAGGTATAGTTGGTGAATACACAGGGATGTAGAAAAGTCTGGACTAGGTGAGTTGAAGGTATGTAGTGTTAGACACTGAGGTCACTGATGAGAAAGGGTAGTGGTGTATGCAGGCAGAGGAAGGTTGATATGTTTTAGCACATCACGGTGAGCTGATGGTATGGTTGGTGGCTGACTAGTCTGGCAGAGGGAAATATAGATCACCTACATGCAAGGCATTTAATAACCAGTACTTTTAAATTGTTGACTGAGGAGCCTCACAAAATGCCAAATGCTACTGTCAGCCTTTTACTACCCAATAATGACAGTAGCCTAAAATTGGCCTTTAATCATTGTTTAAAGGACAACTTGAAAATATGTTGAGATTAGACGTATGAGACCTGATTCTGAGCTTACTTGCACAGATGTAAATCCTAAGTGAAAATCAATTAGGAAATGAAAAATATTCCTCAGACACTCAGCCTATATATTTTTATATGAAAATATGTTTAAGCTTTGTCCTGTTTGGTCGTGTAAAATGCTTTCTAATGATGCCTAAAGTTAGCTCTGATATATGTAAGTCTCCAAATTAAAACTCTTTGACAAAATCCTTGGCAAGAGCTGTTAACCTGATAGTTTTGTCACAGAAGATGAATATTCTGTAACTTCAGTTCCACTAAGGCTAGAATTGAGCTTTTTGTGTCTCTCCAGTATTTAGTGTTGTGAGGGGTTTTTTGTGGCACAGCTCCTCCTGTTTGTGGAAGGAGACAAGCCAAGAAGAGTGCCTTCCTTCTACAGAAAAAGATATTACTGAAGAGAGCACAGTTGAAAGCAAGAGGATATATAGCTTGGAAAGCAGATAGCAGATGTTGTTGTTAAAACATGGATGTGGTGTAAAAGGTGTTTATATGTTAATTAAAAATACCAAGCAATCTTAGCATAGCTAGAATCTCTGAAGATTTTCATCATAGAATCATGGAATATGCTGAGTTGGAAGGGACCCATCAGGGTCATCGAGTCCAACTCCTGTGCCTGCACAGGACACTCCAAGAGTCACACCATGTGCCTGAGAGCATTGTCCAAATGCTTGAACTCTACCAGGCTTGGTGCTGTGGCCACTTCCAGGGGGAGCCTTTCCAGTGCCCAGCCACCTTCTGGGTGAAAACCTTTTCCCTGATATCCAACCTAAACCTCCCCTGACTCAGTTTCATGCCGTTTCCTCGAGTCCTGTCACTGGTCACAAGAGTGAAGAGATTGATACTTGCCCGTCCACTACCCCTTGTGAGGAAGTTGTAACTGCAGTGAGGTCTGGCCTCAGTATCCTCTTCTCCAGGCTGACCAGACCAAGGTGACCTCAGCTACTCCTCATAAGGCTTCCCCTTCATCCTTGTGGCCCTCCTCTGAATGCTCTCTAATAGTTTGATGTCTTTTTTATATTGTGATTTTAGCAAATCTAAGTATTTATGTTTGCATATATCTGAAACAAGGATAAAGAAATCCTGTCACCCTTGCGTCATCAAGATGGTTTTCTTTCTCAGAATCAGCAGTTAGCTGCTCAGAGGAGATAGTTCAGTGCAGTCACATGTCAAGCAGCTTCATGGCCAAGTTGGTGGGTGAAACACTGTTTTTCTCCCCAAACCCCATTTTATTAACTCAGTTTAGAGCTTAAAAGAGATGCTGTGAGATGAGTGTGGACTTGAGTTTGATAGCTGTAGTAGATGTCAGTCCACATCATTAAACAGCTGCTTTTGCAATTAGGTTCACTGACCTCTGATGAGACCAGCTAATCCTGCAGAAAATGAATTAGCTTGTTGCTAAACTTTATGTCTTAGACCTAAAAAGCAGCTCTCCTGTGTCAAATTGTATATGCTGTATAGGATCAAGATACATTTAAATTTTGGCCCGTATGCCAGACTTAGACTGAAATTGCATAGATTAATGTAACAAATCAATATGACTAGCCAGAAATCAGATTGACTGAAATAGATTCATGATGAATCATATTTTAACATTGATTTTAATAAAAAGAATTTTTTTTATTGATTAATGGCCTTGTGATTAATTTCATGAAACCTGTTTGCCAGACATCATGTGGTAGAGGCCAAAGAACTCAAAAAGAAGTGGAGAGAGGAGAAAAAGAAGTATTGAGTTCTTAAAATTCTAGCTGAATATTGATATGCTCAGCCTTCCCAAAATGGTATATACTGATTTTCTTTTTTTTTTTTTTTTCACAAGCCATAACTTGATCCTTCATACCTCGTTAATATTGTAGAGGAAGCAAAGTTTCCTTCAGCATTTTTTAGGAAGGATGTCGTCAAACTTCTATGCTAAAAAGTTACTGGCTAACAGGGTTTTTTAAAAACATTCTAAGGTCTGTGTCTGCCAGCTAATCATGTTATATTTTACCAATAAATTTGCTTTAATATTATTTTTATATACTGGAAATTTAAGTATCTTTTATTGTAAGCTTTAATTCATTGACCAAACCTTTAGTTAATGTTAACTGGGATACTTTCAGATTTCTGTAGCAGTTCAGTTCACCCCTGCAGGAAAGGAAGTCTTAGGTGACAGCTTTGGCCACTTTTCTTTATTCTTTCACCTTGGTAAGTTGTCTTTATTTGCATCTTTGGAATTGAACAGAGATGAACAAGTCTCCTTTGTGGTACAAATAATGATTAAAGTATCTTTGAACTTAGCGTGAAACATAATTACCACAACAAAGATATATATGGAATTCTAAGGGCCAGAACTACGGATTACTATTAAAGAAAAGTGTCTTCTCTGGTAAATGGGCTATTTGGTAAAGGATGAAAGACTATGATTCCTTGTAGTGCCACCCTCTTGTTCCATAGCAATTGACTGGGCTGCATTCTAGCAATTTATGACTGCAAGTTTTTTCAGTCTTCTATGAGGGAAACATTTTGAAACATGCAATATTAATCACAGTGACCCAGAGTTGGTACCTATTTCACTGCATTGTGAGGAAACCTGAATGTTCATTGTACATGTACCACATGTGAAAAAAAAAAAAAAAAGTTGGGGTTTGCAATTCTCTGGGTTTGAAGAGAGTAGCTCGGGTCACAAATTGACGTGGAATAGAAGTAGAACAAACAGCTGGGTGTGAGGATGTGTTTAGAAATGAGTACTTTGGTGACTGTTTCCCTTTCTGTGGGATTGTTCAGGTACAACTGGATTCATGCACTACCTCATTCCTGCCGCAGATAATGAACGTAGATGTTTATGCTGCCATATGTTTTTATCTTGCAGGTTGAATTTGAGTGGCTTAGGCAGTTTTGGTTCCAAGGCAAGAGGTATTTGAAGTGCACTGATTGGTGGCTTAAGCCTATGGCTAAATTGGAAGAATTTTGGAGAAAAATGGAGATTATGGTAAGTACTAGTTTTAAAGTCTAAAGCCTCTAGGGCTTAATTCTGAGAGCACTCACAATTATGTTTTTAATTGTACTGTAGTAATGGGTTTTAAACTTTATTCAGAACATATGAGAAACAGAATCATTGTCAGCCTTATACTGTCTCCTCTCACTTTTATCCCCCAGTAGCCAGAAAAAATGTGAATGAAATCAAATCCAAACCCCCAAGATTTTAGTTATTTCCTGACTTTGCTTGTTTTTAAGGTTTGACAGTCTCATAAGCTGACAGTCATATGTTACATCACACAAACTGGTACATGAAACTACATTGTCTACTTCTTTGTACGACACCCAGATAGACAACTCTGCCAGTGACAACAATGGCAAATGCATCAGAGGAAAGTTGAGAATAGGATTGGTCATCTGGAGGTCTGTACCTGCACACCACAGCTAGAACCAACAAGAGGAAAGTAGTTTTAAGAATAATTGTAATAATGATTCTTGTGTACTTGAATGTACATCCTGCTTTCCTTGAACAGGGACTCGGTGCCAACATTGCCTGTTTGGACAGCTGCTGCTGCTGTCTAGGTAGAGATTCAGTGGGGACACTGTGCTGTCAGAGTTCTGGGAGCAGTGGTCTGCTGCTGGATTTGTGCTCAGAAGGAACTATATGGGCAGATGTCTCCTGCTCATCTCCATGTTTCTGTCGGGAAGTTGCTTCTCGATCACTTCTGCTGGTCACAGCATAAAAACTCGATTTGCCTGTAGTGAACTTGGAAAAGTTTGTAATATTGCTGGTGATGCTGAGCAGAGGTGTGTTTGAATCTCTGGAGATGTGGTGCAGCAAGAACATAATCTTGAGTCTCAAGGGAAATGTTGTGACTAACTAAGCTGCTCAAATGTATTGTAAGCTTCTCCAGCAGTGGCATGCTCCAGATGTGGAAAAATGTCTGGAAAAGTGGAACTTTCAATTGTGAAATCTGTTGTCACAGGGAATCAGTGAACACTGAATTTTCCTACAAAAGGAGAAAAAGTATTTATAACTTGTTTATGTGGGTTTTTTTCCCCTCATTTTTGTGTTCTTTTGTTCTCACAGTCTTGAATGACCTTTCTAATTTAAAAAAATCTTTTGGTTTGTTTTTCTTTCAAATGACAACTTACTCACTTGTAACACAGGCTTAGATGAGGTAGAGACAAGAATGTTTGATATTTTATATGCATTGTGTGTTGAGAACATGGAAAAACAGCAAACTCTGGAGCTCTCAAGGGTTAGGTTTTCTGCAATTGGTGTGACATTGCCAGGTGTCTCTAATTAGAAACATGGTGGCGTCAGTGTATCTCCTTTCAACAGGCCTCAGGATGATATTTATCAGCAAACTGAAGGTTGGGCCAGAACAGAAGCTGCTTCTAATTTAAATTTTAAAAATTGCTCTAATGTTTTATGACTTATAACATATTACTCACAATTAATTTTAGCTATTGAAGGAGACAGAAGAGAATGTTAATTGAGAATGTCTGTTTTGTTGAGTCTCTAAGTAAATTTGATGCTTACTGTATTTGGGACTTGGAGGTGGGGTGGTTTTTTTTGGATTTAACCTACATTTTGTCCTATGGTGTTCCACAAGGTGACAGTAGGGGACAATGTTGAGCCGCAGTTTCAATGCAGCAGCAGGAACGGCCTGAATAAAAATACATCGAAATGTGGCATTAACATCAAGAATTATCCCTGTTGCTTCAAGTTAGCTGTAATCTCTAAGATTCCATAACACAGGAAATCAATTGCGGGTTAACAAATTCAACAGCAATTTAACATAAAAAGTGCAGTGTTTTGGTGCATGCTTAGCTTCCACAGCTAAGTTAAATCAAAAGGGTATTTTTGAAGGTACCCTGTCGTCTGCAGTTGATGTTTTTTCTCCAAATTTATAATTTTAGCTGGATGATTGTTAAAAAAAATGAATCACGTAATATGCTAAAAGTAAAAATGTTTTAGAATTGTTGATCTAGTTTTGGAAGAAGTTTTCTGGTTAAAAGGAATTATTTCTTAAAAGAAAATATTTCAGCACTGTATTTTTCTTTTGTGTGCGGGCTGAACAATTCTTCACTTAGTCTTCTTATATGTGTGTCTAGAGTGATACAAAATTCAGTCTTGGGGTCCCCATATGCTTTTTTTTTAGTTTTCCCCCTTGTTTATTAAAGCAGCTATAAAGAAGGAAAGAAAGTTTCCAAAATTATCTCTGATGCTATTAATTGTAATTACTCCTCTGTCGCATCAGAATATGATATTGCAGGAAGTTTAGCCCAGTGCCTTCAGACCTGTGGGCTTTATTTAATATTTCTGTACGTTATAGCAAGCACACAGTTTTATCATAATGTTTATTCCTGGCATTTCTTTCCCTGAGGATAGTTTTACTTAGAGCTCACTCTTGTGATGTAAATGTTAAACCTTTCATTTGAATGACATTCTGATAAAACATCACATTTCCCACAATATTACCTCATGAATTTATGAGCCATTAAATCCAAAGCAGTTTAACCAATCTTCTCTTTTTTTTCCCCCCTCCCTTGAAAATATGAAGGCTATTCATATGTTTGAGAGGTTTTTTTTAAAAGTCATCCAAGATTAACACATTATCACCTGCAACATCAGGATAAATGCTTGCTGAATTCAAAGGGAGAGTTACCATTTGAAAAAAAGACAGTACAAGCTTTGCTTTCTGGGTAAAGAGAAGTCTGAAAAGCTGAAATCTCATGTGATGTGAGCAACTCTTGCTGTAGCTGTTCTGAGATTCAGTGGAGAGACAATTTGTCTCTCAGGGTCTGATATCATGCAAACCTTGCAATCTGACATTTATTTTAGCTATGAAAATCTTTAACCACCATACCATATCTGTAAGAACTGCAGAAGTCCTACAGTCTTTTTGTTTGTTTATTTAGTTTTAGGTTGATTCATGTTAGAAAAGTAAAATGTAAATCAGTGAAATGTTTTTTGTTTGTGGAATGAAAAGTAAATGTATATGGTTACATTACTTACATATTGAATTTTTAAAGGCTTTTTTTAACAAATCTAGTATTCCTTAAAAAAAAAAAAGGACCCTTGCAGTGCTATATGGTGTGAATTGTATTTCCTGCTTTGACAGTCCATTTAGCAATGTAGCAATGTATTTATATGGCAGTTGGCCTTAATAACCTTTATTGACTTTAGTGGGTAAGAGCCAAGACTGGCATTATTAAAATGTATCAGTTTCATTGCAGTATAAAATCACAACATATATAATTATGCTAGGTAGGCTAGGCTCCATTTAATCCCACCTATTTATGCAAGAATTTGGCAAGACAAAAAAAAATTGTAGAACTGAAATGTAGAGAAAAGCATGAGTGATTTTGAGTTACATGTAACAGCACAACTGTTTGCCTACAGTAAAGGGTCTACTTAAAGGAATGAAACATAGATCTCAAGGTAGTGATTTCTTAATGGTATAACTGAAACACAAGTAATTGTTACACCATTTGTTTCACTTTTCGGCATCTTAAAATAGAGCTAATGAAAATGAAATGCAGCACAACTTTTAATTTGTAAATGTAGTGTAAAAGCAGAAGCATCTACATTCTGTGTAGTGATAATGACCAAGGTGGCATTTTATGCAAACTGGTATCTTTCTGCACAACTTTCACCTTGATTTGTAAAACTTTTTTAAGAACTATATTTAGTCGTGTTATTACTATGTTTATTCTCAACAACATGCTTTTATCACTTTATACAACTGAATTGAAATCAGAGAGCAAGGCTGTTTTCTTGTGAAATTATTTTTCTTTCCTTTTTGAGTACTATTTCATTATTTACTACTATTGCTACATATGAAGTATGTCATAGTTTCAGCTGTAAGCCACTATTGTCAGGGGCTTACAGCCTGACAGTTAGAATTGAGTCTAGGCTGAAACTTGAGCTACAAAATCTCAGCCCAGAGCCATTTTTTTTTCCAAATTAAAGCAAGGGTTTAAATATGTATTTAAATCAAAAGTATTTCAGTTCCCGGATAACCATGAAAAGCTTTAAGACAAAATATGCTTTTACAAGGAATTCTCCCAGCTTTTGTAGGCTTTGGCACTTTAAACAACTAACCAATTATTTAAAAAAAAATAGATAATGGGATCACAAACAGGCTGGTTGGTTGTTTAGCTTCTTTCAGAAAATACATAGCTACTTAACTGACATTTCAATTGGTTTGACCTTGTCAGCCAAAATTCAAGGAACTCTGAGGTATTATTTTAATTTGTCTTTTAGTTTTCCCATTGTACTTAGATATTGCAGTGTCACACTTTATTGGAGGGCCATGTGGCAATGGGTGATCGTATTTACCTAATGAACTGTGAAATGTAGGTACAACATGGCAGCTCGAAGACCCAAATTTTAGCCATATTTCTTGTCTTTTGGGGCTCTCCTTATCTGTTTAGTCCAGATCCTTTAAATAAATGTATTTTGGCAGGTTATATTTTGTGAACACTGGGAGTCAGATGTTTCTGGAAATGTACCTTTTATCTTAAACAATAACAACAACGAAACCTGATCCTGAAGACTTATTTTTCCTTTTTTTTTCTTTTTCTGGCACTAATTTCCTTGACCCCAATATTTTTAGCTGTCACAAATAGGGGAAAGGATTCAGCATTGTCTGTAGTAGAATCACTGACAATCTGTAAAAAGAAAAAAAAAAGTTATATTGCACATCTTTGAGAAAAAAATTATTTACAATTCTGAGGGAATTCAGACTTAAGCTTCCAAAACAACGTGTGTGCTGAAAGCACAAAAGGCTGTGTTTATGATTCTCTTTGAAGTGTTTCTGCAACAGGATAAGGAAAATTTTAGAAACTGTCTGATAGTGTTCAGGGTAAATACTTAAACCCCTTTAGAGAATTTCACACACAGATACTGTGCAGCAGAAAAAAGGATACTTATGTTTCCTAAAGCTGCTACAGCCTACAGCTTTGTACTTAAAGACAGAGGTGTTGAATAGAATTCTTCTG